ATATTGCATCTCCTAAACATTCAGCTAATCCTCTTATCTTCAAAAACAAAACTCTGTGGGTTCCTGTCCCACTTCATAGTTCTGCTTCATAATGGAAGTCCTCCCTGGGTAACGTGTTCTCTGTCTCAGTTCCTTCCCTCTCAGCAGGGTTTGGCCCCACAACTTCACTGCTCTGTCAAGGGCACCACTGATTTCCACATTGCTAAACCTGATAGTCCGCTCTTAGCTCCGCGTCACTTGATGTCTTGTCAGCATCTGACACAGCTGCCGCTATTCTGTTCTTGATGCAGTCTCCTCCACCACAATTGTCAAGTTTTCTTTCTTTCTTTTCTTTTCTTTTCTTTTTTTTTTTTTTTCCCCCTGTTTGGGCTTTTGTATTTGTTTACTTTGTGTTATTTCCACGGTATTTTTTTCTACTTCTTATCCTTCCTGACTTCTTAACATTGGTGTGCCCTGGAACCTAATTCTTGGAATTTGAGTGAGTTTAAGGGATGGACATTATAGCCAATAGCCATCCAGATGCGGTTGTATTCTTCAGTTTTGTTTTCTGAGATGACAGGAGTGAGATTTCAGGGTGCAGGCCGAAGCACTAGACTTTCCTTTTGCAGTCTGCACTTAGGGCTCATAAAGGAATTCCACCCTTGGGTAAGCAGAACCCACACAGTGACTCTGAACACGCGCTTAACGCTTTTCATTTCTTTTTTCTTTTCCTTTCTCTTCTTCTTCCTCTTCCTCTTCTTCTTCTTCTTTTTTTTTTTTTTTTTTTGGCGGTCCCGGGCATTGAATTCAGGCCCTTGCACTTGCCAGGCAAGTGCTTATTCTACTGAGCTATCTCCCTGGCCCGCCTTTAATTTCTTTTAGATCAAATTGTTCAGTAGGGAACAACAAAAAAAGCGCTGTCTTAGGAGGACGTTCTCTGAACCCTAACACTAACGTTTGGCTCAGCCTACCAGGCAAAATACAACCAGGAAAGCAGAACCTTAAATTTTAAGCAAATGTAATGTATGGATTCGGCTAAACAAGTATTTGATGAGTGAACACCCAGCAACCCAGAGATAATCATTATAGGAAGCACCCACCCTAAGTGAGAAGGACAAGCGTCCGAAGGGTGCCAGGGACCCGCCCTGTGAAGCAGAGTTGCAGGCCAGAGCAGGAGGCCTCGGCTGGCGACGAGTCCGCTCTCTGGGGCTGACCGAGGAGGCGCCAGCTGGGGTTGGCAGCCTTCGGAGCGGGGCAACCTGGCTCTGAGAGTGCAGGGTGGAAATGAAGTGGAAACTGGGAATGAGCGATGGAGACTGAAACAAAGCGCTGTGGCCAAGTGCAGTGACAGCCACTGCTGAGAAGACAGCGACAAGGGGATGAGCAGGGGCCATTCCCCACTAACCTTTGGTGCTCCGCTAGCACCCCCTACTGGCAGAATGGAGAGATCCAGCAGGCAAGAGAAAAAAATACATTTGCCTTGGTGGTAGGAAGCACCGCAGAGCGCAGGAAGATGGGTTTGGAGCTGAGAGACACAGCTGAGTAGCCAGCACGCCCACGGAATTACGCACCGCTGAGCATGGAGTCATGTAATGCTTAGTCACATGGTTACATTCACTATGTTGGATATAAAATATGCAAAATATGCATAATGTATACTATACATAAATGTCAAATGATGCAATAATTGTACTAAATAAGTATATGCACATATGTAAGAAATTTCTAGAAAGGTGTGGAATGATCGAGGAAAATCTTATGACAGTGATTTTTTCCAGGGGAACGGAACAAGGAGAGGTGGAAAATGCAATAAGAGACGATCACAAAAGGCTTCTTCTGCTCTATTCCTTATTTGTTTTTGCAAAAGGTTGCCCAGAGGTATACAGGAATTGTCATGCAATCATATATGCAACCTTTGAGTCAGGAACATTTCTACAAAAACGGTAGAATAACCTGGAATCTACCTTTGTTTATTAATAAGCTATTGTTTCATAGGAAGCTGCGCAGGGCTTTGGTATTTCTAAGCCTCCGTAGGCTTGCTTGCTTGCTTTTTTTTTTTTTTTTTTTTTTTTTTCCAGAACCGGGGATTGAACTCAGGCCCTTGCTAGGCAAGCTCTTATTCTACTGAGCCATCTCCCCGGCCCCTCCGCAGGCTTTCTATAGACGCAGCAGCCTCCTTCCTCTTCTGTCCTCCACATGACGACGGCCAAGTGCCAACCTCTGGAGAGCTTCTGCAGGTCCATTTTTTTTTCTTGTTTGTTTTTGAGGCTGTCATACCCAAGAATGACCATGGTAGCAGGGCTTATGAACGTTAAAATGTCTTTGCATGTCAACATTTTGTGCAATTCACTACACAGAGTTAGAAAAGATAACAGGCACGCGGCAGGGTAAGTGGCAGTCATCCAACTTAAAGCAGTGTGAGCAAAACAAACCACGAATGCTTCTTGCCCCCCAGAACTGGAGAGCCTCGCGAGCTTCCGGTTTTGGCTGGCTGGGCGCAGGACCCCACCACTTTCAGAGCTCTCTCGCTTGGCTCCCCTGTGCTGCCTCTTTGGAAGAGGGCTTTTCCCAGTTTGCAGTGAAGACAGGTTTAGAGGATCTCCAGATTGAATTGTTCTTTTTGTCTCTGTTGAGAGAAAAGAGTCCTTATCTAACTCTTAGATCAAAAGTCCAAAGGGTGTTCTCCTTGGCCTTACTTCACATTCCACTCAGCCTTATATTCCTCTCTGAGCCCAGGGGTCCGGTCTGTGACTGGCTAATATTCCCGACCCCGCAGAGCTAGAAGGGGCGATGCAAACACAAACCAGGTAATCAGCTTCCTCTGCATCCCTGCACCTGGTAATCTGAGCAACGACTTTGAATATAACAATATGCAACATAACAGCCACAATTATTTTCCTATCATATTGTTTTGAAATTCTGTATTTTTTTTTAATTCTCTTTAAAATAAAAAAAAAGAAAGAAAGAAGGGAGAAGGACTGGGTGTGGAGGTGCAAGCTCACACTGCAAGCTGAGGCAGAAGGACCGATCGTGTTTTAGGCCAGCCTGGACTACATTGTAGGACTTTGTCTCACAAAAGCAAAAACCAAGAAGGAAAAAGGCAGGGCTGGCAGAGAGACTCAACGGACATTCGCTACATGAGCTGTAAACATTTCTGAGTGTAACCCCTGGCTCCCTTGATAATTTTGGTCTCTTTCCTGACAAATCAACGCAATGCAAGCAGAAAAACCTGAACTTCGAACATGATTTGGGTTCCATGCACGTATTCCACATGTACTTTTTAATACCTTCTTAGTATTTCTCCTACTTAAATCCTTGTGCTTTAGCTTCATCGTATTTTGCAGTACATCTAGTCTTTCAGATCAGTGACATGTTTATCCCATAAAGGCTCCTAACCACGATATGCAAACTAGGACTTGTGATGGCCACGCCTCTGCTCGTTAGCTGCACACACCCTTTACCCATGCTCCTGTGTGAGGAGTATGCTTGTGTCACATATCTCCCAGCAACAGTGATTATGAGCACTTTCTTGTCATCGCCAACAACAGTCCCTTCCCTAACAAACTGACAGTGCCCTGCACATCACCAAATCCCTTACGTGTGATTTCGTATCTGCTTGTGTTGGAAGCATGTTCTTCATGACGAACAATTTCCATTTATCCTGTAGGATCTTCAGAATTACTGTGCTCCAAGTACAGAAGGGTCCTCCTTCTCCTTCTGCGCCCCCCTCCATTCACTCATAACATTTGTTCCAGCTGCACAGCAGAAGTATATTAAGGGTGAATAAACACAAGTGCCTCTTGGAAGCCCAGTTCAGGGGTGGATGTGTCCTAGGTGGTGAGTTCTGCAGCAGGGAGGCGCAAGAGGCTGCGCCTGAGTGCAGAGTGCCTGCTGTTCATCTGCTGTCAGTGCTGTGTCTTCAGCAGTTGCCAGGGGGTCTTTCTATCCTTCCCCATCCTGCTATGCAGCATCAGCATCTATCCACGCTCCCAAGTCAAGACCAAGCAACCCTATACTGCTCTCTCCTCTCCCTCGCAGTGATCCCACAGACCCCACTTCCCCATACGTTCTCTCTCTCTCTCTCTCTCTCTCTCTCTCTCTCTCTCTCTCTCTCTCTCCCCCCACCTCTCTCCCTCCCTCCTTCCATGGTCCAAGCCCTTATTGTCTCTCTCAGATCTTCCACCGTTCTCCCTCTATCAACATCCTGGCTTACAATATCCCCACTAACAAGCCACATGCAATGAATGTCCCCAAATGCGAAGTAAACACTGGCATCCATTTAAAAGCTGGTTCCTGGATGGGTGTGATGTTATACACCTACAATGTCAGCATTCTTGGTGACTGAGGCAGGAAAGTCACAAGTTTGAACCAAGCCTAGGAAATTTAATGACTTAGTGAAAACCTATCCCAAAATCAAAAAATAAAAAGGCTGGGGATGTAGCTCAATGTGAAGGTCCTATGCTCAACCACACACACACACACACACACACACACACACACACACACACACCCCACATATAGTGGGACTATTTTCCGCTTTCCCAATCTCCTGTTTCCTAGACTACAGATAGTCTCCTCTTTGAGCAGCACATTCTATGGACTCTGCTCTTTGTAGATTGAATGAACAATGATCTCGTTTCCATTCTCCAGATCTCAGACCAGAGGTCTCTGGGCCATGTCGAGGCCTTGCCTACAGTAGGCCCCACAGCACATCAGCACCAGCCAGCTGCATTTCACAAGATACCTGGAACTTGTGGGACTCATATCCACTGGTACAAATTACAGACCTGGTGTTTATTGTGAGCCCAGCCAAATCCCAGGCACACAGCCCTGCATCCACAAAACACATTCACAAGGCAGGGTTTTTTGTTTGCTTTTTATGTATTTAGTACAGGGTCTCACTATATAGATCAGACTCGTAAGACTCGTATAGATCAGACTCATAGCCTCCTAAATACTGGGATTACAGGTATGCCCCACCATGCTCAGTCTCAATCCCATCTGGGGGCGGGGTTGGAACAGCATGCCAGGGATTGAACTGCAGTCCCTGCATCTGCCTAAGCAGGTGTTTTAATCCAGGCAGTTTTGAATCAATACATAAAAGCTTTCATTCTCAAAAACATGAAAAGATAAATAAGCCGTACCACCATGGAAGTGTAAGATGGTGACCTGACACAGTCTCACTTCGAGCAGCAGCTTCCTGCGGGGTGGCAGGGAGCCGCTCCCTCAAGCACAACTGACAGTCACGGCTGGCTAGGAACTGGGCGCTGGCCTGCAGGACGCAGAGCACACCCGCCAGGAGTAGAAGCAGCGCCACACACCGCAGCGATGGCAGGGCAGGAGCAGGCAGACACCGCAGGAGGCGAGTAATGTTAAACCTAGTAATGTTCACAAAGCAAGATCATAATTGAAAATAGATCATAAAAATAGTAGCTTTATTTTTATTTCTTATACTTTTCACACATAAAATTCTTTCAGTAAAACTGAAGGAATTCTGCCTTTGCACCAGGCCCCAAATCTCAGAACACAAGAGAAAGCATATCTTTCAATGCAGATTTTAAGTAACTGCGTATTTTAAGTCATCTTTATGTAATTGGTACATAACAGTGTAATTTATTTTTTCTTTGTTAATAAAAAGGTATATCCATAAAATCAGTAAACTTACAATAAAAAGTAAACAGAGGTAACAAGAAGCCTTGAAAGAATCAGCAATATCTTTAAGAAAAGTTTGGTCTCTTAAAAAAACACAAACTTTGCAGGGCGTGGCTGCACTTGGGAGGCTGAGGCAGGAGCATCGCCTTGAGCTTGAGGCCAGCCTGAAGTCCAAAGTGAGACCCTGCCTCAAAGACAATGCGAAACAAAACCAAAACCCCATGAACTTCTACTGCTTTTCAACTAACTTTCCCATATCGAATGCTGCAAGCACGACTGGTGCAGTTGGCCGGCTCATCAGGACGACAGTAAGCCCAATCTGCTTACTGTGATCATCCACAGTTATGCCCACGCTTCCAGGGTGGGAGTGTGAAGCCCTCAGAGTTCTGTGTGCAAAACTAAGGACACAGAAGAATCCTTCCGGCAGTGATGTGCGCAGCCAGGGTGCCGGTCCTCCGGCCGCCGGTTGGTTGGGCCGAGCCCGCAGGCTAAGTCTCCTCTACCAGGAGAGCAGCTTGTTCCTCCTCTGTGCCCACAGTGCTCTGAGGCTTTGATCTGCAAGAGGAGAGGGGAGAACCTCAGCGTTTCAGTCTTCAACAAGCAGCCCGAGCCTACGCCTCTAACAAGTTAGCTTCTTAAAAAGCATCTGCCAAGGGTTGCGCTCCCGGGGCCCAGACTCTGCTAAGTGGGAGAACGGGTGCAAAACGATCTTTCCTTTCCATTCCCAGAAGATAACCGTGGAAAGGAGACAAGAGACCAAAACCGGGCCTACCTTCTTCTGGAGTCTTCCAGGAGGTAAAACAAGCCCATCGCTAATCCCTTTGATGCAATGAAAGATACGGGTTAGTGTAAATCCTCCAAGTTAACTTTCTCTAAAACATAAGGAAAATGAGAAAGAAATCGACACGTTACTCACACTAATCAAGGGCCACAAGCCTTGTATAGCAGCTGCCCACTCAAAACCAAGTTTCTCATACAGAAATCCACCGAGCATCGGTCCGAGGAAAGCACTAGCCGTGGAGAGAAGAGTGACTATGGAACAGTGGAAAAATAATTGCTTCGTCAAAGTCACGTGATCCCCCCCCAGACCTTCCTTGTATTGTTACTGTAAGTACTGAATTAGAAAGCCAACTCCCAGGCATAGCGGCAGTTCTAAGAAAATAATTCCAGGACTGAGAGTGTCACTCAGTGGTCGAGTGCTTGACTACCGCGCGTGAGGCCCTGGGTTCAATCTCTAACACTGCTAGAAAGAAAGAAAGAAAAAAAAATGGTCTACTTGATAATGATGATGCTTAAAACTTCTAACCAAGTCTCAAGAAGAGCTGCATCTCAAAAACTGGGGGCTTACAGAGAAAAGCTAACAAATGTTCAAGACTATACAGCATTATATTCTCAGTACTTGATATAATACAACTCAATTGGATATGTATGAGCTCTCTATGCAACATTGTTCACATACATTTGTCTTTCTGGTATAGCAGAAGGTAGAAATGGATGAATACTAAAGAAACTTTAAATCTGAGACACATTTTTTTAAAGGCATGCACAAGTAACATAAACTAGTCAATGTGTATGAAGCCATTTTGCTTAGGGGTTTCCTGTGTTATTTGCTTGTTGATGTATTTAGTACAGTGTCTACGCGGTCTCACTACACACACTGGACTCGTAGAGATTCTCTTGTTTTCAGCCTCCCAAGCTCTGGGAGCAGGAGCCGACACACCCAGTCTCATTGGCTGGCTCAGGGCACTGGGGGCAGGGCCTGCACGCCATGTGGCGCTTAGGATTCTTTTGTTTCTTTGCTTTTTCATTATGCAACTCTGATTGGCCTCACACTCATCTTGCAGCCTAGGCTGGCCTTGAACTTGCAGCAATCCTCCTGCCTCAGCTTCCAAATGCTGGGATCACAGGGTATACCACCAGGCCCAGCTTGCTTAAGTATTACATAGGATACTATAACTATATCTTGGAGTCAGAAGGTGTGGCTCGGAATTCTCACCACTGCCTATCTTTGACAATCTCATGTAACTTTTTTTGTTGTTGTTTTGCTTAATTTTCCAGCTGTTATTTGTTGTTAGTACACGCTGCACTGCATGGAGACCAAGTTCCTTGCAGGGAGTTGGTACACATACACAAAACATCTTCTTTATTCAACCCATTACCCTCACTCCCCCACCTTCATCCCTGAATCTCCATCTCCATGAGAAAAATCTATCCTCCTACTTATTATCATTGGTCTTTTATTTTGCTCTGTGTTTATATATTGTGTTCTCCATATAAGAGAAACCTTGTGACACAGAAAGTTGTGTGTCTGATTTATTCCACTTAACACTATGGTCTCAAGGGACATCCGTTTTCCTACAAAAGTCTCATTTATCCTTCTTTAAGGCAGAGTAGTACTCCATTGTATACAGGTATCACGTTTGCCTTCTCCATTCATCTTTGATGGCTCTCTAGGCTGCTGCTGAAATGTAGCTATTATGAATTGTGCTGCTATAAACATACGTATAAATGTAATATAATGACTTTAAATCTTGCAGGAAGATACATATAAGGAGAATAGTTGGGTTGAATGGAATATCTATTTTTCACTTTTCAGAAGTCTCCATACTGATTTCTGTGAGGGCTATTCTATTCCACAGTCCCACCGACAATGCAGAAGGCGCGCTTTAGCTCCTGAGGCCTCGCCAGGGGCTTCACGCACTCGGGCAGAAGGGGCTTCGGGTAGTGATTGGCTCGTGCGGAAGTGCCCCTCAGCAGTGACTGGTCCACTGGAGGGTTGAGCTAAATTGATGTTGGACGTGAAGCCTGGTGGGAGGACATGAGCACTGGGCATGGCCTGAGGCCTGCCCCTCTTTCCCTTTTATCTCTCTTGCTTGCCTCTGTCATGCCCTCAGCAGCCCTGCTCTGCCATGTCCTACCCTGCCTCGGAGCCAGCCCACTATAAACTGAAACCCTCACAAACTGTGAGTAAAAGCAAACCCTCCTTCTCCAGACTGTGGGCACCAGGTATTGGGTCTCAGCAACAAGACGGAACCCAAGACGCCAGCTCGTGTGATTACCTCATTTCCTGGTGATGCTCTTCTGTCTGGAGTAAGAGAGCATTTTAGTGTGGATTTAATTTGCATTTTTTCTGAGGGCCAGAGGTGAGAACATGTTTTCACATATTTAGTGGCCCTTCGTGGTACCTTAGCAGGCCCATTTCATCTGTACAGTGGGGACAGCATTTCCTGTCTTCAAGTAGGGACAAAAGAGTGAGCACTCACCCAACCGACCACATGGCACTCGTGAGACCCGACACAAGCCCCAGGGTACTTAATCCCTCTTCAAACCCATTTTCACTGCAAAGAGAGACATAAGAGTATCTATTACTGAAAGGAAACCTGCCTCAAAGAAAACACTGTATGATAGCGATGTTAAGATGAAGCACAGAAAGACTGGGCGAAACCAGTGGCATGACACCGCACTTTTAAGAAGTCAAGTGTGCCCAGGCGCCTGGGGATGCGGCTCTATGGTGGAGCGCCTGCTGGGCGTGCACATGGGCTTGGGTTGGATCCCGCACTTGGGGACAGAGCTTTCAGAACAAAAAACCAAGAAATAAATCTAGTTCAATGGGATGCTTTGTGAATTATAAAATAACTTTTAAAAAACATTTTTATTAAATCTCTTAAGATATATTAACATCATGATCCATTCATATTTTTAAAATTTTTTTATCTTTATTTATTTGGCACAAGGTCTCTCTACACAGTTTGGCCTCATAGTGATCCTCCTGTCTCAGTCTCCACAGCACTGGGATTAAAGGGTATGCACCACAGTGCCTGATTTCGTGGCCACCTCAGTGAGGGGCTGGCACGGCATGTGGTACCAGGGATAGAACCTGGGTCCTTGCACTTGCCAGGCAGGCGCTTAGACTGCTAAGCTATCTCCCCAGCCCGATCCACTTATATTAAATGCCTATAAAGCATATAATTATCAATCCCTTCAATTAAGACGAAGATGTCAAGAGGACAGTGGGCAGCTCTGAGAAGGCCCAGAGGCAGCTCCTTACTTCTAGAACAGCTGAGCTGGGCCGATCTTCGCACCTAGGAATCACGGCCTAGCAACAGACGCCTGGCAGCCCTGTTGTCACGCAGGTCTGCTCTGTGTGAGAGGGACGAGCCCCAGGGTTCTCCCTTTGGCTTTAGCTTTTAAAAGCTACATATTCGTCAAGGCCCACACCAAACAAGCATCAGTCTTTGGCTTATTTTGACCACTAGTGTAGCAATATTGATACATATTAAGAGGGCCAGCCAGATAGCTCAGCAGACTAAAGCAGCTGCTTAGGCAGAGCACAGCAGTCGGGGTTCAATCCCCGGAGTACTGTGCCAGCACTGCCCCTGGGGCGCACTGAGCCAGCAATTGAGACTGGGTGTGGTGGCGCACGCCTGTAATCCCAGCGCTTGAGAGGATCACTATGAGTCCAATCTGTGTAGTGAGACCTTATAGACCCTGTACCTACACATTTAAAAAATATCTATATTAACATTTACATGATTTATTATTATGTAAATGCAATATTTGCATTCTTTAAATACACGATGGTTTGAGGAGACATTCCTGACATGCTAAGAAATTGAAATATTCATAACCCATGATGTTCACTGCTGTTCCCAGCACAGCTCAGCAGGAAACAGGCAGCACTTACTACGCGCAGCTGAGAACCTCGGGGAAAGTGGGGATTATACACATCCCAGCAGAGACGCCATTGACCACCAGGATCAGCACCAGCAGCCACAGCTGACTGCAAAAGAATGTGGGAAGAAGGGAAAGCGTCAGCGTTAAAGAGGGAAGACGGGTTCTGGCGAAGTCGGTGTAGCAGGTGATGGGACAGCCTCCAGCTGCTTCTCGTCCTGCCCATCCCAGCCGGGAGATCCCCTGTGAGCCCCGTATATTGTGGGGAGCAGGGAACCCAGCTCATCTCTGCAGTAGCATCGCTGGCACAAGCCTCCAGACAGTCCCTTCGGTCACGCAGGTCTTGCATTTGCAGCCAGGCTGTGTCTTGCCACACAAAATTCTTTGAAAATTGGCTGCAATACCCACACCAACACAGCTCATTCAGTCACAGGGCTTTGAGAGCCAGGACCTGAACAGTGCCGAGGGAGGGACGGGATGCCGTAGAGGTGAATGTTTTGCCAGTACTTGATGTATACAACCTCACTTTCTCCGGTGGGAGATCCGGGCTACTGACAAGGAAGCCGAGGCTCTTAGAAGTTAAGGGATTTGCACAAGTTCACAGTAATAGTAAGTGGCAAAGTCTGAGATCAAACCCAAGACCAAAAGACCCCGCAGTCTCTCTTTTTCCACACCATGCTTCATCCTAGAAGTATGGGAGAAGGCCTAGGAAACTCACTTTATTTAGCACATAAACTGTCAAACAAGTTTCTACAAGCAGCTGTGACATGTGACTGATGACGAGAAGCAAAAATGACTTGGCTCCTGTCTCAAGGAGCGAGGAGGAACAGCAGAAAAGAATAAAAATACCTGCTAAGAAACATCAACCAAAGGTGGGTAACAACATGTGGTATTTAAAAATAAGAACAAGTAAATATTTGATAGAGGGCTGGCCAAATAGCCCAGCAGATTAAAGCACCTGCAAGCAGGCGCAGGGGCCAGAGGTTCAATCCCCCCTCCCCCCGTCCCCTGTCCTGCCGTGCTGCCCCTGGCCCCACCCCCGGGGCACACTTATATGGCGATGGAGACTGGGTATGGTGGCTCATGCCTGTAATCCCAGCACTTGGGCGGCTGTAAACAGGACAATCGCTTCAAGTCTGATCTAGTAGTGAGACCCTGAACACCCTGTAGACCCTTCCCTAAAATACAGGAAAGAAAAAAACAAAACAAACAAACAAACAAACAAACACAATTGATAGAAACCCAAGGAGAGAATAAGCATCTTCCTTGCTTGCTGAAGATTTTCTGAATTCCTATTTGCTTCGACCAGTCACGGTCTAACAACTCAAAACAAGCCTAAACCAAAGCAATTATTCAATGACACATTAAGGATTAAAATGCTAAGGCATGCCAGTATTATAACAAAAAATTTTAAATTAATTGCTACCACAATTTGACCAAAAGTATAGAAGGGGAAAAAAAAGTACCTTTTAATGTGTAAGATCGGGGCAGGCCCTAAGAGCATGAAGCATGCTGCTGTGATTAAGTTGCCAAAAACCAGGAGCCACTTCCTCAGGTGCTGATAAGGGAAAAAGTGCAGGAAACGCAGGAGTCAGAAGCTTCCTTCATCAATGCAAAAAACCATGAAAGCACACACATATCCAAAAATCAAAGGACATTCAAGAAAGCAAGATTCTACATTTAGGAGAAAATCAGAGGATAATGAACTCAAAAGCAAGGACTACCTACCACACAATGGAACAAGCAAGGCTCAGGATTCCTTAGGAAAAAAAAACACACGCTGCAAATTTTTGCACATGATGGACTAGTTTGAATAGCAAACAGTTGGGGCCGGGGAGATGGTTCAGTGGAATAAGCGCTTCCCTGAATAGCAAACAGCTTGAAAAGCAGTCATGACAAGTTGTGCTGCTATAAACATGGGTGCACATGTATCACTGGGGTGAGAAGATTTCAGTTCTTTTGCAAAAATACCTAGGAGGGAGATAGCTGGCTTGAATGGGAGCTCCAGCCCTGGGCTTCTGAGGAGTCTCCACACTGATTTCCGTGATGGTCGCTATAGCCCACACTCCCACCAACAGTGGAAAAGGGTTTGTTTTTCATCACAGCCCCTCCAGCATTTGCTATTGGCTGGTTTCTCAATGGTAGCCATTCTTTCAGGCATAAAATGGTTATCTTGTAACCTAAAAAACTAATTGGAAGATAACATCATGCAATACAACAACCATAGTTGAATTCCTATTACTTTGTGGGGTGTTTTGTTTTGTTTTGTTATTTTAGGGAAGTGTCTACAGGGTGTTCAGGGTCTCACTACGAGATCAGACTCGTAGAGGTCCGCATGTTTACAGCCTCCCAAGAGCTAGGATTACAAGTGTGTGCCACCACACCCAGTCTCAATTGCCATCTCAGCGTGCCCCAGGGGTGGGGCCAGCATGGCAAGCCTGGGATTGAACCCCTGGCTCCTGCACCTGCTTGTTGGAACTTTAAGCCACTGAGCTATTTGGACGGCCCTCTTTATTCTTTAGAAAAAAAATTCATTTGGGGCTTTGGCATAAAAAAAAAAAAAGCACTCACCATAAGAAACTTACAAAACACTTATACCACATAAAAAAATCACATTCTAAAACTACCAAATGCCCATGCCTCTGGTCACAGAACTGTTAAACCCTAACACCCAGCGTAATGGTACTGGGGGGGTGGAACTTCATGAGTGGGGACCAAGAGAGCCTCACGGCCCTTCTTCCATGTGAGTTACCAGGCAAAGGCCACCATCTATGGCCAGGAAATCATCCAGGTGTGGTGGTGTGCACACCTGTGACCCCGGCACTCAGGAGACCCAGGCGGGAGGACTGCAGCAAGCTCAAGGTCAGCCAGGGCCACCTAGTGAGTCCGAGCCAACCAGGACCCTATAGTGAGACAAACAAACCAAAAGAAAGGTAATAATAGTAATAATATAAATCAAGAGATGAGCCTATATAAGAAAACAAATCCCTAGGGCCTGACTCTGGGCTTCCAGGGCTTCAGAATTGTGACAGATAATTATTAGTACTTATGATACTTCTTATGGAAGTTTGAACAGCCTGAGATAATATTGAATAAAATTAAGGGCTGGGCAGATAGCTCAGTGGACTAAAGCGCCTTCTTAGGCTGAGCCCAGCAGCTGGGGTTCGATTCCATAGACCCCAAAGACCCTGTCCTAAATAAATTTAAATATATATACAATAAAGTTACACCTTACAAACTATGAGTCAGGCCAAAAGGTACAGGGTTATATCCATTCAGTTATATGAAACTATGTCTTAAAAATCCCAGCTCAAACACTGTTCAAGCTACGAAGTTTTTGGTTCTTGAGGTAGTAATTCCTACCTACCTAGCTATTTTTTGATAAATATGTGGATCTGTCTAGTAGTAAGGGAGAAATGCAAACCTGAGCACTAAAGCGACAAAAGAAGTCATGGAAAATTGAGATTTGGATGGCGCCACTGGTTCTGTGCGCCAGTTATCCACACTGAATGGGTTATGTTTCACTGAGAGAGAACAGAGGAATTTCCTAATAGGAAGGGGACAGCATACTCCATGCGCCTTGCCTCCCACTCTCTGAATAAATGAGCTCCTCCTAAAGCCAAGTCTCTCAATTGACACAGTCCCACAAGAACCTCTACGACTTGACCTAACCGTAAGGTCCGTCCATCTTACTTTTCGTCAAGGAGCTTTTTCCTTTAAAAAGTCTAATCCAGTTGTGCTGGGCCTGCCCAGAGTGACCGCTCAGCGTGGGAGACGCTGGAATCCCTCCCATAAGCAAACTGTCTCTGTCAACTGTAACCAGGGGCCTTAGGAGTGCTGGACTGAGCATGGTGGCACACGCTTGTGGTTTCAGCACTCAGGAGGCTGAGGCAGGAGGATCTTTGTGAGTGTGAGACCAGCCTAGGCTACACAGCAAGATCAAGGTCAGCCTGAGCTGCATAGGGAGACCCTGTCTCAAAAAGATGAGAGAGAGAGAGAGAGAGAGAGAGAGAGAGAGAGAGAGAGAGAGAGAGAGAAAGCACTAAACATGCAAAAGGAAGAGTGAAGGGAACTTACTGGCATTTTGTCGCTAAGTAGTCCAAAGAGTGGTGAGGAAATGGTGTAGGACAGCGCCAGCCCCAGGAAGACCAGCCCCACGTAGCCAGCTGGCAAGTTAAACTGGAGAAGAATTCATGTATTAAACTTACATGATTAAGTCATTTTTAAAAATAAATATCTATACCCTTTCTTCCCATCATTTCTTTAGCTTTCATTACTATGGTGAGTCTACTACTCAGCATCTGTCTCACTTTGGGTCTTATTTTGGTAAGTGAGTTTCTTTTTCTCTAGAAGAGAAAGATGCTAAGCAAAGATGAAAAGATCTTGGTGTTTTATTTGTAACACTTGATGTTAAACATATAATTTAAGCTTTACGAATTATAGCATATTTATATGTAAATCAGTGTTTTATGTATTTTTTTGTGCTAGAGAATTTTCTAAAGAGTTGACTACAGACAGGGCTGAGTGTGGTGGTGCATGCCCGCAATCCCAGCACTTGGGAGAGGCTGAGGCAGGAGGGCTATTGTGAGTTTGAGACCAGTCTGGGCTACAAAGTAAGCTCAAGGCCAACCTGAATTGCATAGTGAGACTGTGTCTTAATAAAAAAAAAAAAAAAAAAAAAAAAAAAAGAGTTGGCTGAAGGAGATCGCTGGATTTCCTCCTAGGCTTTCTGATTTAGAAGTGCAGGATGAGGCCTGAGGATCTATATTTCTCAAAAGCTCATGGGTGACACTAACAGTCCAGAGCTGAGCTTAGAGTGTCTCTGGTACAGAAAAAACACACAGCAACATTGACCCATCTCAAAGGAGGATGAATATCTAGTACTACAGTAGATGGCGTGACATATTTTAAAAGATTTTCACAGGGGCTGGGGAGCTAGCTTGGCTGTCTCAGCACCTGCTGGGCAAACATAAAGACCTGGGTTTGATCCCTGGTACCTTGTGTGCCATGCGGGCTGTGAGTCTGAGTTGTATAGTGAAGCTCTGTATCAAAGAAAGAAATAAATAAATTTTGAAAAAAAGAAAAAAAAGATTTTCAGGCAACAAGCCCTCACATAACTGTGATACATCACAGGCATGATGAGAATGTCTTGTGGGGTATGTAGGTTGTTTTTCTTCACTTAATGCCCTTAACCAATTTTCATAATTCAGTCCTTGGAATTCATACACATTGTCATCATAGTGTGACAGCTACTAAGATAGCAGCCACAGAGAAGAGATGTTTCCTTATCTTACGACTGGAGAGATGAAGGGGGACCAAACTACCTTAACAGGCTAGACAACAAGTCACAGCAAACTGCCAAGGAAATAATGCTAGAAATAGAAGAGCACCAGGACACAAAATACTGATAGAAAAACAGGGAAATAAATATCAACAGATTTGTTAAACTGGGGAAGGGGGGAGATGGCTCAGTAGAATAAGTGCTTCCCTGGCAAGCGCAAGGGCCTGAGTTCAATCCCCAGTTCTGCCAAACAAAACAAAAAACAGATTTGTTAAACTGGAGAAGGCTATGGGGGAGGCAGCAACCCCAATAGGAGGCAGTCAAGAGGAAAAATCCTCTGGGGTGAGAGGCTTCCTGTCCCTCGCTGGGGAACAAGGAACAAATGCCTCTCCTACTGACCATGCTACAAAGGGGTCAACCACACTAACTTCCTGACTCTTCCTTCCTGTTTGAATAAGCTATATTTTCTTGAGGAAAAAATTTTTTTTCTCAAAGGGCTGGTCAGATAGCTCAGTGGATTAAAGCACCTGCTTAGGCAGACGAAGAGGCCAGGGGTTCAATCCCTGGCATGCTGTGCAGGCCCCACCCCTGGGGTGCACTGAGATGGTGATTGAGACTGGGCGTGGTGGTGCGCGCCTATAATTCTCATGCTTGGGAGGCTGAAAACAGGAGAATCACTACGAGTCCGATCTGTGTAGTGAGACCCTTTACACCCTGTACTAAAAAAAAAAAAAATCTAAGATATACACAAAAAAGCTGAGAGGTGAGCTACATGTTTTTCAGTGTAGACAAAACATCTCAGAGAAGACATAAAAATGACTTACAAAGGCACGTTGCTCAGGGTGTGCGGGGACTGTGTCACCAGAGACACACAATACTTTCTGTCTTGTGTTGCCTCCTGCATAGCTACTGGCAAGCCTGACAGAATATTAATTCTCTAAATTTTAAGTCAGTTATTACAGTCGTGGTCCACCAAGTTGTGTGCGAAACAGTTAGAATGTAGTCATGTCAAGTGGCCGCATGCAATTATAAAACAGTAATTAACTCCAGCCCTTATACAATGACAGCAAAACGAAGAATCCATGTGAAATGATGATGGAAACTTATTTTTATTGGAATTATGTTCTTTAGATGCTAATGCATCAAATTTTCTCTGCTTTGCCTCTACAGACACATTACTTTTTCAGGATAATTATCTACCCATTTTGCTAATACATTTTGTGGCATCATTCTTTTTTTTAGCATTTAATAACCAGCTTTTCAAAAACTTTTTTTTTCTTTTTTTTTTTATTAGTGCATGCTCGTGACAGCCGATGAGCGCCCTGGCCCAGGGCTTGGATGTGTGCACACAGGCCTCGCACCTCAGTCCTTTCTACTTTTCTTTTCTTTTCCCTCCTTCCCCTCCCCTTCCCTAGATTCCCTTTCCATCCGCAAGAGGTTATTTCCTGTTTTCTGTTTTTCCCCTTTGATTTTGCTCTTTATGTTATATTTTTGGGGTTGCTCATATAAGCGAAAACATGACATCATTCTTTTCTCAAAAATACCTATGCGCAAAGGTCTATGACAAACTTTCAGAATTCAACAGTTATTCTTCAGTACTGGAGGAGACTCTTTGTTTCTTTCTCCCATCCCACATTAACATAGTCATCTGATTGCATCCAACAGCCTAAGAAATGTAAAGCGGATGGGGAGTGGGGGGTAAACAAGACAGGGTGGACGCCTCACACTAAATAAGCCCATGAGAGCCCCGAGTGGAGGAATCCTAACAAATGGAGGAAATCCGCCTTGCTAGATGGCATGATTGATGTCCACGCTTGACCTACAATGACATTAGTGAGGTCTTGGAAAGGACGCCGGTGTGGTGGCCACAGGGAGAGGACACTTGCTTTCTTACTGAAGCAGACCCTTAATTCACAGAATCATGGCTGTAGGCGCTAGGGAAGGGCTTCAGTGTGACTGGCTTTGGGCACTATCTGGCTATTTGGTGGAGCGCACTGCTGGGAGTGGGGGCTGGGGGGGGGCTTTCAGCTCTGTGTCTGGACCCGCAACCCCTCCTCTTGGGCACTCTCTTCCTGCTTCACTGCCAGCCGGTGTGACCTAGCATCTCTGTTCTACCACACCCTCCCCATGTCAGCCTTGGAGCCAAATTAAACCTCTCAGCTTTAAGATGTGGGGGTTGGATGTTCTGTCCCTGCTACATAAAGTTCCTAGTACCATATCCCCAGCTTGTGGGGATGGCACGGAGAAGCACCAGTGCGTGGTGAGAGCTCCCCACCCACCACCTGCTCCCAGCCATGCACAGGACTTTCCCTAAGGAAGGGCCTCAAAGCAAGTGCTGCGTCCATCTGCTCAAAGCGCAGGCCACTCACCTTGCTCAAGACGAAGAGAGACAGAATAGGATCGAGGAAGCCGAAGCAGGAGCTCACGGAGATGAGGACGAAGGCGATCAGGCCGACCTTGGGCAGCGTGGCGAGCTTCCAGAACGAGAGTTCGCTTGGATCCGACTCTTTGGGGGGGAAGAAGAAGAAAAACAAGAAGTGTAGCAGTTCACAGCTTTTCACTTTCTAACTTTTTTGAAACCCAAAATTGTTAAGATTAACTTTATGTAGTAATAAAATCCACTTCACCTCTGAGTTTGCCTGAAAGCACATATGACTGACATTTGTATGTTATGTGACTCGAGAGCCAAACTCCATTTCATTTTTAAAAATTTTACAAATCCGAAAGGAATCAGGCAGCCTATGAGTGGGAGTGGGAGAGCCGGCAGGGGCTTTGGGCAGTAGCCTGGAAGCGAGGCTCTTCCAGACGACGCAAAGGACCCGCACAGTTTGGTTTGATTTAGGAAAATGCAGTTCTAGGGCTTTGCCAAGGAATAATATGTGGTCTGTGCTGAAGGAGGATTTTTTTTTTTTAAAGGACTAATTTTCTGTCTTTTGGCAAATACCATATTGAAAAAGGTGCTAAATGTCGTATGTAAATTACTCGCACAGTCAGGTCAGGTGAGTTCCAGTCGCTCTCCCGACAGTGGCAGCTTCCTCACTGTCCCAACATCAGACATCAAGACCTCGTTCCTGTCCCCCCCCCCCTTTTTTTTTTTTGGAACCGGGAATCGAACTCAGGACCTCACACGTGCTTGGTAGGTGCTGTGCCGCTGAGCTATTTAAAATTCTACTCCGCCTCTGGCCCTAGTTCATCCATGAACTGCAACTGTTTCTCCTTTCTCACTCTACATCTAAGGTTCGCTGCATAATAATTCCACGTGAAAATAACTTTTCCCTATGTGCTGCTTCTACTGTTGGGCGGCTTTGCGTCTTCCATTTAATTTGCTTACGAGTGCCTCGGCTGAGCCGAGCGCTGCGCAGACCGCTGGGGCAGGGCACGTTCAAGAAACAAGAGCGCTATGGAGAAGGCACAGAGCGAGTGCAGAGGGCGAGGACCCGGCCCGAATGGTGACGTGGGTGGGGGTGCTGCCTGGAACCCCAGGGAGGGTCTGAGGAAAGACGCGCAAAGCATTGAGCCCTGGGCTAGAACTCCAGAATGGGCAACCGAAGAAGGGGGAAAGAAGGGTCCAGTACCCTGTGGCGGCCTCAGAAGTGAGGGGAAGCAATCATGCGGGAGCCACGAAAGAGAACGGCTTAGAAGACTGTGCAGGGGGCAGGACCCCACGCCAGCCACAGAGCTCACATGGAGTAGGCGGTGCAGGTGTGGGGCATCCGTAAGAGGAGCTGAGAAGCCCGGGAAGTCGCTGGGAATCAGGAGCGGGGAGTGACGAACAGACCCAGGGCTTAGAGATTTATTGCACTGTGGCCTGGTGGCCGTGGCCGTGGCCGTGAGGACGTGGTTACAGGGCCTTGTGCAGAGATGACGATGGAAGTGAGCCCGGAAGTTCCTTAAGGTTGGGGCGTCCTCAGCACCCAGCACGGTTCATTATTTTATGCTTATTAATGATGAAGTGGGGTAAAATACAGAAAAGCCTTGGTGTTGTTCAGCTATCCGAAGCGCTACACTTAAGACATCTTGAGCTAGCAAATAAAATTAAACCTTACTGTCAGTCTCTTGTCAACCAAGTATGCGACACAAAACTGAATCTCACGCAGCACTGTCCGCACCCCTGTTCCAATTTAGGAACAGCCGCTGTAGTTTAACTTTAGCGAGAGGACGGGCACCACCGTGTGGCCTCTCGCGGTACTGCAGCAGGAAGACGGTTTGCTGCGACTATTGCATTGCACAGTAAGGTTAGTTATTTTTAAAATATAAATTACAAAAGATACCAATTTCAACTGGATACACTGATTGTGAATACCAGTCATACTATGTTGCTAAATGTTACGGTATAACAGGGACCTTTATTGAGCAAATAGTACCCTTGTAAAAATAAATCTACAAATATCTAGGAATACATTAATCAAGACATTGAAGACCCAATAATGAAAATGGGAAGGACGCTTGGCTCAAGGGAGACGCCGCCTGTCATGGCCTCTGCTATCTCCTAATGGCCTTCGGGATAAAGTTCACACGGCAGGGATTTAAAGATTTTGTTTTTCCCTTAACACTTAAAAAATACATATTCACAGTGCGCAACATGTGTTGATACATATGTACACCGTGGTACTCGCACGAGCCTTTAATAACAACGTGATTCGACACGCGTTCGCATTTTTTCTGCGGTCTGCACATTTAAGTTGATTTTCTTACCAAGTCTTAAGTTAGTTGCTAACACACACACACACACACACACACACACACACAATCTGTAGTGTTGCTATCTGAGATTTCAATTCCCTGAGGTCAACTCCGGTCTATAAATAGTACATGGAAAATTCCAGAAAATTAAAAAGTCCTTAAGTTTTAAGTCACCTTTATTATAGCACAGTTACGATTGCTCCATTTTATCGTCAGCTCTTCTTCATCGTGGACTGTGCCTAACATCAACTGCACTTCACCATGTGTGTGCAGGGAAAACACACGCCACGGCTGGCCTCCCAGGAGGGCCGCGCCCCGCGCACGCCCCACAGAGAGGCGGGGACCAGGCGCAACCCCAGGGAACCCCGGCCGGTGGAGGGGAGCGCCCCGGCTCCAGGAAGAAGGTCTTGAAAGCAGTTTGCACCTAATCGTCAAAGTTCCAAACACCTGCACCTAGCTTGGACGTGAAGCAATTTATCTTTTTCCGTCACCAGGTGTGAGAAAGACTCACCCAGCTTTCCTCCTACATCATTCATCTCCCCTGGTGTCTACTTTCTGATAATCAGCCCAGGGGCCGATGAACCTGAACGCGGTGGACGGGCGCCACCGCGTGGCTGCTTGGGGTATTGCCTCCGGCTGTGTTAGCTCTCTGGTGACCTGTGCAGGTATCAACGCACACTGCCCTACTGGGCAAGCTGCTTGTAACACAAATGTCTTCTTGGGAAATCTCATCCCGCCAGGAGAAACTACAAATGAGCCTTTAGTATCTGACACCCTGTGTCCTGCCTGGCGAGTGCGCTGTTGTCATCAAGTGCCTCGTGAATGAAGCTGAATCTTGCACAGGTGCAGGTGCCCTGCGAGGCTTGCGCCTCAGTGCCTGTTTTGAAAGGCGCTCGTGGGCCCGCCAGTGGGCAGCGAGGCCCTGCATCTATTGCAGCGATGCTGCGAGTCTGTCGCAGCGCAGGCGGGCTTCCAGGGGGGAGAAGAACTGCCTCGCCCCCCGGCTCGAGGCCTTCTAGGAAACAGGCGCCACGTGGGGCTCGGAATCCCTTCCCGTTCCTAACACCCGCTGTGTTTGGACCAAGGAGAACACAAGTAGGCACTACGTGTGGTGACAGTTTATGGGCACAAATGAAATATTTGCTAGCTGGATCAAAAGGAATTGCGATAGGCAGAAATTCCCACACACTTCAATAGTACTCAACAAAGGCCGGCCGGATAGCTCAGCCGACTAAAGCGCCTGGGTGGGCGGAGCGCAGCGGCCAGGTTCGATCCCCAGCGTGCCGTGCTGGTCCCACCTCCGGGGCGGGCTGACAGTGATCGCGACTGGGTATGGTGGGGCCGGGGAGATGGCTCTGTGGAATAAGCGCTTCCCTAGCAAGTGCGAGGGCCTGAGTGTTCAATTCCAGGTTCAAAAAAAAAAAAAAAAATAGAGAGAGAGAGAGACTGGGCATAGTGGTGCATGCCTGTATGCCTGTAATCCCCGCACTTAGAAGGCTGAAAACAGGAGAATCACTACAAGTCCGATCTACATAGTGAGATCGTATATACCCTGTAGAACCTATCCTAAATTCATTTAAAGAAAAAAAAAAAAAAAAAAAAAACTACTCAACATTTATGAGAAGTGATCTGATTCTTTTGAGGTGCTCTTAAGAGCTATTATTTATTATATAAAAGTGAATATCTGGTCAAATGTTTTCTTACAGTGGCATAAAAACAATTGTAAGAGGGCCAGCAAGAGAGCTCAGCAGACTAAGTGCCTGCTCAGGCCAGCCCAGGAATCAGGGTTCGATCCCGAGCACCACACGCTACACAGGGTGGACCCCGGGCATGCTGAGCCGGCCACCGAGTCTGGGTGTGGCGGCACACACCTGTATTCCTAGTGCCGGAGAGGCTGACAACAGGAGGATCACTAGGAGTCCGAGCTGCACAGTGTGACCATGTACCCGATACATAAATTAAACTTTAAAAAAATTAAGATTCTTAAAGCAAGTAGCAAGGACGGACTCACCATAGCTGGGTAAGAAACATATGTTGAGCAGTACAATCAGCAGAACTATGCATCCCAGGGAAATAAACGGCACCTCATAGCCGAAGGACTGATACAAGAGGCCGCCTAAAGGAGGGCCCACCACGAGCCCCAGGCCGGTAAAAACCTCAAGACTGCCCTAAGAACCGCAAAACGAAAGAAAGTCAAGTTAATGTATTTCACCTGAGGAACTAACAGGGTAGCACTTCTAAAATAATCCTGTCTGTTTCATAATTTACACACACATCGATACAACCTCAAGATACACAAACAATTTAAGTCTAAGCCAGCATATTGTGACTATAAAATAAGATTAGAAAAATAAGGCACGCATCATGACACATACCTGAAATCCCAACACTGTGGGTGGTTGAGACAGGAGGAACTAAAGTTCTGACTCAGCCTAGGCAAGTGAGGGACTAACGCTATGACTCAAAACGTTAAAAAGAAGAGCACGAGAAGGAGAGAAGAGAAACATATAAAAAGGGCAGTATGAAGGTGCTGAATTCAAACTATAGTGTTGGGGGGGAAAAGCAGTAAATTTAAATAACATATGGGAATTTTTTAAATTTTTTTTTGGGGGGGAAGGTTTTAATATGTTGCTTTTGCCCACCTCAAAGCCACGATCCTGCCTCCCAAGCAGCTGGGATCTCAGGTGAACGCTACTATGCCTGGTCTCTTTCAGTGATTACAATGGAGAGGCTTTCTAATTATGATTTAGATATACAACTTACAAGATATGAAAAGAAACAATTGATAAATCTTCTGATATGAAAATATTAAAAATGTGCATGGAAAAACAAAGAAATGAGGCACGGAAGGACAGGTGAAGACCAGGAAAACGTGCTGACAAAGAACGTTTGGATTTCCCACAGAGATCCAAAGATGTGCCGCAGTCCAGGGACAGAACGGTGGGAGCCTAGCAAGAGATGAGGTGAGGGCCGGGGGAGCTGAGGTAGAGGAGGCAGTGCAGACAGCTCTTAGAAGAAGCGGAAGGTCACTCCCATGTTTTAAAGAAAATAAATCACTTTAGACCTCAGTATACCAATTTTAATTAATCACGTATCAAAATTCTCTTCTGCTGGGCTACAGATGCAAATGACCCATCAAGAACTGAAATAACTGGGGTCGGGGAGTTGGCTCAGTAGAATAAGTATTTCCCTGGCAAGTGCAAGGGTCTGGGTTCAATCCCTGGTTCCGCAAAAAAAAAAAAAAAAAAAATGGAATAAGCTAGGATACATCCATCAAATAAAAGAGTGTACACAGAGTAAAGAAGACTAAGAACATATTTACAAACGTATGTATTGTGAGACTGCGCTCAAGCACTACTCCTGGTGAAGGCAATCATCAAGCTGGTCAATGACTGGGATAAGTGACACCATTTATGTAAAGGAAAAAAAACAGGACAGGAGTTGCTCCTGCTCAGTATGTGAGAGTGTGTGTGTGTGTGTGTGTGTGTGCATGTGCGCTTGCCTGGGTGTTTGCTTCTGTGCCCCGTGTGCATGTGTGTACTCATGTGTACATGTGTGTATATGTATGTGCTCACGCACACATACCTGGAATCCATGTAGAATAAACCTGTAACGCCTCTCGTTTCCTAGAGGGGGTAGAGGACCAGGGATCCGATGGCAGGTGTGCACAAAGCCGAGCAACCATTCCAATATATTTATCATACCCTGCACTACCTCCTGTGCTTTCACATTGTGCACCATGTAAAATTATTTCATGAATGAAAGTTAAAACAAGCAAAACAGTACTGTGGAAAAATAATTTCCTATGAAAGAAATTCAGCATTTTAAACAGATCTAGCTCCTAGGGCTTGGAACCTCTCCATTGGAATCCCTGTAAGCAACCTCACTCAACATAATGAATATCTGGAGTTTATTTTATCCTTCCATTTTCAAGGTTCACAAAGTACACACAAGAACTCCATCAATACATTCCAAAATCTCGCGAGGAATATAGGAATCAAAGTGGTAATAGGAAGGCCGGCCAAATAGCTCAGAGGATTAAAGAGACTGCAAGCAGGCGCAGGGGGCAGGGGTTCAATCCAAAACCCCACCCCCAGGGCCTGCCGGATGGCCTGGCCCCGGGGTACGCTGAGACAGCAATTGATACTGGGCGTAGTGGTGCACACCTGTAATCCACTTGGGAGGCTGTAAACAGGCAGATCACTACGAGTCCGATCTAGTAGTGAGACCCTGACCATGAACACCTGTAGACCCTTCTCAAAATACAAAATAAAATAAAATAAAAAATAAAGTGGTAAAAGGGCAAGCTGGTGGGACTACATTTACATATCAGACTGCCCCCTCGGGGGAATCCTAAGACCAGAGCGGCTGCTGAGTGCAATTTTTTTGATAGCCTTGTTGTTAGAAGTAGAAATCAAGATAAGATAATAAAAGCACAAAAAAATGGAGAAAAAGCAGGTATACAAGAATGCACTCCAAGCTGTACAGTGGAAACTCAAAAAGTGTTTCTCCGTACACCCAAAAGAAAGTAAGAATGTGTGTACTACCTACCAGCACTGTTGCCACGTTATTCGGGAAAGCCTTTGTGAGGATCGAAGATGACGCAGTTGTTGCTGCTCCAAAGCCTATCGCATCGATTACCCTCACTAGAAAGCACATGGCAATAAATATTGGTCCATCCGGGAGTTGGTCCATGACACTAGAGAAAAAAGGACATTTCATCAATGCCAAGCTGTTCTTCCCAGTGCAGCTGCACTTGTGGAGAACAGCAGCACATCACCCATAGTTGTTACAATAAATCTTTGTAGTGTGTGAATTTTTTAAATAATTATTTTGTTAGACTTCCAACCTTTTTGTTGTTGTTACAATGTGACTCATAATGACAGTTTAGTGAACATATAAGTTGAGATAATTGATTTCCTTCATGATAATACTAAGTAGGTCCCTTCGAGGGTCATAATTATCCTCCTGTTGCCATGGTGATTGGCTCCAGGAACATGGCCAAGTACCAAAATCCAAGGATGCTATAGTCTCACAGAAAAATGGCCACGTACGATAGGCTTCACAGTATTTGCAGGTGAACCACACATGTCTTGCTGTGTGCTTTGACACATCCATGCTGTTGGGTTTTTTTTCTTCTTTTCCTTTTTTTTTTTTTGTATGTGTGTGTGTGTGTGTATGTTTTGGTAGTTCTAGGGTTGAAGCCAAGGCCTCAGGCATAGTCAAGAAGTGCTTTTCCCCCGGGCTACACCCCCAGCATCAAATCATCTCTAGTTACTCGCAACACAGATATTACACAATGTGTGAGTCTAACACAATATACATGGTATGTAAATAGTTGCATAATCTCTTATTTAGAGAATGACAAAGAAAAAGTGTAGATTTTTAGTACAGATACATTTTCATTTCAAATAGTTTCAATCTGCACTGGGGTGAATTCACAGATGTGGATCCCCTAGATACATACAGAGGAATAACTGTAGAGTCACCAAAACAAGAGGTAGGAGAAGAAAATACTTGTAGCTATCAAGTTTCTCCCAGGTGGGACTCAGACCTTCAAAGAAGAAAAGCATGCAGAAAATAGACGAGTCCTCACAAAAAAGAAAGAGAAAAGCAACCTCACTCAACATAATGAATATCTGGAGCTTATTTTATCCTACTTGTTAGTTTGTTTGTTTAGAGACAAAGTTTTGAGATAAAGTCCACTCTGGCCTCAAAGTTGCCAGGTAGACCAGTCTGGGTTTTTGTTTTGTATGTGGGATCAGGGATTGAACTCAGGCCCTTGCGCTTGCTAGGGAACTGCTTATTCTACTGAGCCATCTCCCTGGCCCCAGAAGTTCAGAAGGATTTTTTTTTTTTTTTTTTGGCTGGCTCAGTATGCCTTCTGGGTAGGCTGGTAAGGCTTGAGGATCTGGGGATTGAACAATACCACCCTGAGCCTGAATACTTTGTTTCAGCAGTCACTTAAACAACTAAGCTAATGGGCAGGCCCCCACCAGTCTGGTCTTGAATTTAGTACTCTCCTGCTGCTGGGATTATGGGCATATGCCAACCTATCTCATCATACTCTTATCTTTCCTGTTTGAGCTACAGAAGTTCAAAGTTCTAATAAGAGCTCTTTAAAATTATTTCCCACTATGCTTTTTTGGCTTAAAGACTCTACGAATTTGCATCTATTTTACCTTTGGTATCTGTTTTCCCGGAATCAACAAGTGCTGTGGTGGGGACACTACCTGCTTCCTGCCCTGAAGGGAGCACGTTAGCTGGGATGCCCCATCACAGCATCTTTCTGCTGGGCCACAATGGCCAGGAAGCCAGGATGGACCCACAAAGCTCAGGCAGAGGGCTCCATTCTGCAAGCCTAGTGTGGCTCTCAGGAAAGAGGTGCTGTCTTCCCTGGGGAGCCACGAGGGCCATCTTGCCACCAAAAGGGGTGGGCTTGCCTAAAAACGAAGCACATGGGGAACCAGAGCCCCAAAGCAGGGAAAGACTTCTGCTGACCTTGTCTCCACATCTGTGCCTGGAAGTTTTTGAACTGATATTTGAGAACAAAAAATTCACTTTTAACCTATGACAGAAAGTTTGTATGACTGAAAAAAATTGTCATTTTTCTCACTCAATTACAGGAGCCCCAAAGGGGCAGCTCCCAGGGTTGGGTTACTGGTACCCCTGAAGGACCTAAGGTCAGTACCCTTCTTCTCTGCTCTCTGCTCCCCAGATGCTGCACCAGTAGTCATGGGCTATGTGTTCCACAGGAAGTAAAGGTCCTGGTCAGTTTTAAGAAGCCATTAATATTTTAATTTGAAGACAGAACATGAAATTTGTTCAATTTCCCAAACATCTCAGAAAGTGACTTACCCAAAGATAATTGTGACTCCTCCCGAGATAAACATTCCTGCTATGAACATAAATTTTGCTCCAATATGTACAAGCTGTAATAAATGGCAGAGAAGAGTGGTAAAGGATTATTTATACAGATCTGTACTCACATAAACAAACACACTGCATTGCTTTAAAAGAATGGCAACATACATTGCTTACAAACACGGACTGTCCAAATCCAATCAACCCTAACAATCTCCACTTCACAATGGCAACATTTATAAAACGATAATGGTGGTTATTTCTTAATCCAGGGACATTGTAGACTACTAAATAAAGAAAACTAGCTACATAATTTTTAAGAATGAAAATGTGTACATTGGGTCAGGGAGATAGCTCAGTGGAATAAGTGCTTGCCTGGGAAGTGCAAGGTCCTGAGTTCAATTCCTGGTAGCACCAAAGGAAAAAAAAAAAAAAAAAACTATGGATTTCAGACTGGACATGGTGGTGCGTGCCTACAACCCCAACTCTTGGGAGGTTGTAAACAGGCGGGTCACTACAAGTCCAATCTAGTAGTGAGACCCTGAACACCCTGCAGAGCCTTCCCTAAAATAAAAATTAAAAAAAAAATTAAAAAAAGAAAATGTGTACATGAACTTCAATACTTACATATTTTCCAAATACCAAAGATGCCAAAAACTCAAACAAAGCATAGCACCCAAAGATCATGCCAATCATAGTATTGCTGGCTCCTTTGTCTTCAGCCTTTGAAGAAACAGAAATAGGAACACAGTTTGAAAAACAAAACAGGATCAGCATTTTTAAAAAAAAAGGAAGACGAGATCAAAGCATGATCATCTTGTGACCTGTATGGCGCATTCTGTGTGACAACTTCAAAGACTATTATTTCAAAATCAGTGGTGTAGGGAAGGAGAAAAAGCAGTTTAGAGAGTAAATACTAGTGTCTGACAGGAAAATCATTCACTTGCAGTCAGAGACTGCAGACACACAAGAAAACCTTGGGCGAGAAAAAACGGGCTCTTCTTTGAAATCACAGGACTGGGGAAGCAGCTGATGCAGACACGCTTCCTTCTCACGATCATTTTTAGCTAGGATTGTACTCCACTAAGGACAATCCCAAACCACTGGTCAGTGAAAAAGATCCCGTGAGCCAGCACATGGGTCACACCAAGGGCAGTCGGCTTGGTGCCCTGCTGCCGCGACTCTTAGGATCACTCAGTTTTGGAGAAACTGTTTTCCTTCCTGAGATCAATAACGCAGAAAGAAGATGCTCCCTGATACTACCCAGTCTTCTGAGCCATCGTGTGGTAGGCTACCGCCCACAAATGGTAGGCATTGACGCTTCTAGCCTATTCCACCAGGAAGCACTGAGATTATTACAGATGATGTAGCGTTTATCCTAACTATCTACTCTTTGTAAGTTTAGATGCTACTATATTGATGCACCATCAAATTCACATACAAAAATAGACAAGATTTTGCAAACTTTTTCAAACCGGAAAATACAGTGGTTCCTTACATCAGGGCCTACCTACAGAAATTCGAGGAGTGAATATGAGTTTAGCCAGGCATGCTGGCATATGCGTGATATGCTCCTTCCTGGAGTGAGGTGGGAGGGTCTCGAGTTGAAGATCAGCCAGGAAAGCTAGCAAGACCTTGGGCCAAAATAATAAAAAGAGATGGGAACACAGCCACTGTGCTCAATTCCCAGTGCCATGAAAAAAAAAAAAAAGTTTAACCATTCAAATACATGACTGGGAGGCTGAGGAGATAGCTCAGTAGAATAAGCGCTTGCCTGGCAAGCGCAGGGTCCTGAGTTCAATCCCCAGTACCACAGAAAAAAGAAAAAATGTTAAATAAATACTCAGTCGGCAGCCTACCACAGTATGACTCTGGAAGCCTCAACAACACACCTGTTTTATCTTGGCCAGTCAACAGTCATTTAATGAGCACTTCTTCTGTGCTAGGGATTGTATCAGCAGTGACCAGTGTTGTTATTCACTGTCTCATTAGACCTGCAAGTAATTTTCCTCTCATATAGAAAAGCAACACATGTATACACACACATGCACACACAAAAACATACTCAGATACACTTAAAACCCATTCCCTACAACAGCCACAACTACGTTTCCTTCTTCTTTTTTCTTTTTTAAATGTATCTGATATAGGATCTCACTACGCAGATCACAGTCATAGTGATCCTCCTGTTTTCAGCCTCCCCAGAGCTGGGATTAGCCCTGTACCACCACACCAGGTCCTGATGGCCCGCTCAATGTGCCCAGGGTGGGGCCAGTCCCCAAACTTGCCTAAATAGGCACTTAGTCCACTGAGCTATCTCATCAGCCCTCAACTACATTTCTTTTTTTTTTTAATTATTAATTTTATTGAGAAACAAATAGCAATGAGAGAGTTTCAAAACTGACTAACAGGACAGTTTCAATAATTAATGCTCTTTCCCATCTTGCAAGATGGTGGGTGAAAAAACTGAGAAGCCAGACACTAAAGAGAAGAAACCTGAAGCCCAGAAGGCTTCTGCCAGTGG